TACAACTAATGATCAAGGAGGAGTATTGTAATATAATGTGATTCATTAGTTGTAACCACAATTATTTAATCATAGCATGTGTATATATAGCTGATTTTGTTTCATGCAATTCTGGTTCTTCTTTTTGATTCTTTTACGCACACACACATTCATTATTCCTCTCTATCTTTTGGACTTTGATATCAGTGTTTTCAATAAAAACTATTACAATACCCCCCTCTCCTCTTCCCTCCTTTGAGAGGCCCTGCCCCTCAGCCATGCCTGTCTCCACATAAAAAGTAGTGCCTCCCATTGACGTGCAAGCCAGACCCATAACCACTCCAGGGGGTGTAGTCTCGTAGAGGCGATCGGAAATAAACGGAGGATGACCGACAAAATCTTTTAAATTGGAGGAAGAGACAGTGACAGGAGGAACAGGAGGGGGAGAAGGTTTCTCTTCTTTTGTTTCTTCTTTCTTTTCATCTTCTTCAGCTTCATCATCATTAGTCTGTATCTGTGATAAGACTTTAAAAGCAGCTTTATGTAATATCTGTACAATGAATAAATCTGTATCTGTACAATGTATAAATAATATGTACATGTAAATTAGCTAAATATTTAAGTAACTGTACATTTACATGTACACGTACATAAATGATAAAACAGCTCAACAAGCAAAGGACAATACATGTACATGTATTACTATGACTTATGTGTGTGTGATTTGTGAAAAGTTCTTCACTACATAAAAAAGAACCCAGTATAAGGTACACATGACAAGTATGCATGTATTTAAATTATTATTATGAGCAAACTTATTATTATTAACAAGCAAAGGAGACTACATGTACATGTGTACATGTACATGTAAGTATTTATACATGTAAATATTATCATGACTTGTGTGTGTGTGTGATACTTGCACTCAGCACCTTCTCAATGTGTTTCTGTAGATTCCTCACTCCACTCTCCCTGCAGTACCACTTGATGAGGGACTGGAGAGCATCAGTTTCTATAAGGACCTGCCCCTCCTCCAAACCAGAGGAAGAATGAGCTTGAGGTATCAGGTAATTCTGAGCAATGCTTTCCTTCTCTTCTGATATATAACCAGAGACCTAAGAGTGAGATTAAGAATGATATAATAGTCCATGGTGTTTCAATAAACTCTAATGTAAAAAATCCAATTTTAATCGAAATTAGCTTAAACTATGCACGCAACATAAGAACATGTATATGCATCAGGAACAATTATAAAAATGGAAAATTTTCAACTTTTCATTTTTGACAAAATTGGGCCAAAGTCATCACTGTACTATAATAGTACAGAGACTTTTGTCCAATTTTTGAGCAACTTTAAAAATTTGTAAAAAAATTCAATTTTGATCGGAATCAGCTCAAACTTTCTACACAGCATAAAAACATGTATATGTATCAGAAAAAGCCATTAAAATGAAGAATTCTAAACTTTTAATTTTTGGTGAAATTTGGTCAGCGACCCTGTACTATAGTACAGGGACTTTTGTCCATATTTAGAGCAACTTTAAAGATTTGTAAAAAAAATCCAAATTTGATCAGAATCAACTCAAAATTTCTACGTAGTATAGGAACATGTATATGTATTAGGAAATGTAATAAATATAGAAAATTCTAAACTTTTCCTTTTTGAACAAATTTGGCCAAAATCCCTGTACTATAGTACGGGGACTTTTGTCCAATTTTTGAGCAACATTAAAAATTTGTAAAAAATCCAATTTTGGTTGGAATCGACTCAAACTTGCTACATAACATAAGTACATGTATATTAATGTATGAGTAGTTCTTTTACTTGTATTATTTCATTCTGTCAATGAGTGGTCCTGGTATAGTGTCAGTTGTATTGGCTGTACTAATGAACAGAACACGTGAGAGATCCACAGGAACATCAAGATAATGATCCAAAAAGAAAGAATTCTGCTCTGGATCCAACAACTCTAACAAAGCACTGGCTGGATCACCCTTAAAGAGAAAGGGAGAGAGAGGGAGAATGTGAAATAATAAATAGACAAAAAATGACACATAATCCAACGCATCATATGCTACCAATCCCAAACTCCCATACCTGGTACCCGCGTCCCTAATATCAACCTCATCAATCAGTATGAGTGGATTTAGGATTCTTGGTCTGTACTTTCTTCAAACTCTGTATCACTTTACCAGGCATTGGACCAACATATTTTCTCCTGTGTCCCTTTATCTCAGCCACATCAGTCATACCTCCTATACTGAACCTAAAGTACTAAAACACACACACACACACACGAAGAGAGAGAGAGTCAGTCAGTGATTGTTGTATTAGTTTATTGTGTGGTCTTCCTTCTCTATTTAATGCCCGGGCAACTGAACGAGCTATACCAACACCTACAGAGAGAGAGTGGGGGAGAGGAATAAAAAAAGAAGATAGAAAATGACTATAATTACAATAAAATGTAGACTGATTCAAATATTTATTGTTTAAAGTACATGTACATTGTAGTTATATATCAATAAACACACTACCAGTAGTACCAATAGAAACACTACCCAATAAACATAAATTAATATAATATAATACATTATACATAACTATTAATGTACATGTACATTACCAGGTGGTCCTACAAAGCAGAGTATCTTTCCCTGAACTGATCCTTTCAATCTTGAGACTCCTATAAACTCCAGTATCCTGTCCTTAATGTCATTGAGTCCATAATGATCCTCATCAAGTATAACCTTAGCCCTCTCTAAATGGAAGTCCTCTTTACTGGTCTTACTCCAGGGTATACTCATCAACCAATCAAGATAGTTCCTTAATTGTTACACTGGGAGAGGGAGTCCAGGGTATACTCATCAACCAATCAAGATAGTTCCTTAATTGTTACACTGGGAGAGGGAGATAGGGAGAGAGAAAAGGGCAAGGACAATTGCATGCAAGTAAAAAGCAATCAGTAAATCTATTTCTTTTTTTACTTACATGTAAATTCTGATGAGTGGCTGTCAAGAAAGGACAGTTCGTTCAATTCTTCTTCAAAATTAATACAGTCTCAATTTCCTTCAGTACGACATCTTTTCAGGAATCTTGTCTAATATGGCATCCTTATCATCTTTCTACAAACTTTATCAACTTATTCATATCCTTCCAGTTCCTCCCTCTCTCTCATACTCCATTACTTCTATTCCTAGTTTTCTCTTTATTATTTTCAGTTCCTCTTATAATAAAATTATACTTTCTCTGCATTTTAGTAAACTTCTCCTCAACCTAAAAATGACAAATATTAAAATAAAAGACTGTAATGCTAGAAAATGTGGTGAAGCAAATAGAAGTTAATTGAGCTCATGCATGCAGTTACATGTACATACACTGTATAAATGTACTTACTTCTTTTCCAAGTTTTTTTGTAGCGTTACAATGGCTAGTTCTTTCTTGAGTAGTTCAAGTGTTAATATCAATCACTCAGGAATCTAATAAAATTAAATAAATACAATGTAGATACATGTACATGACATGTACATAAAATACATGTAATAATAATAATAATAATAATAATAATAATAATAACAATAGTGATTACGTCTGGACATTCAAGAACTGCTTGAATTTGATGTGATTCTCTACTGGTCAGTGCAGCTCCCAAATCAGCAAGATGTGTAGGATCATCTATAACTCTTTTACCAGCCTCAATGACTCTCTGTGGGACAAGAGGATCATGTAATAAAAATGTACCATACATTAATACTAACCACAGATTTCTTCTTGCAGATTTTTACACTCATCTACTGTTTTTAATCACTTCAACCTCAATGTCTAATTTGAGTGGCAGTTCAAGTTTTTTTCTGGGTAGTTCAATGAGATGGCCACTAATTTTGACACAGCTTCATACATTAGTGTCACTTGATGTGATGTGGTCGACAATGCTTTATGAAACAATTTACAATCCAACGGCAACTGAAAATATTTTGTCAGCATTCAGAGGCTTAAACAAACTGCAAATGGACCATTTTAAAGAAGCCTACACAGCTGTGCCTCAAGACCTTCCTTAACCCTGAAAATGCATCAATGCATTCAAGCCTGTTGCTGCCGAATTTTTGTTTTTAATGCCTTTGATGATTGGTACATGTATGTCACCAGCCTTGAGTGATGTCTCCTCATGGCCATCAAAAAAGGATGCCCTCACTTTTACTGCTAAAGGGAGCGGTTTCAATGCCATTAGTTTCTTTACATTGTCAATATGCATTTTTGAATTGTTTTGAATAATTCCGAAAACCATTTCAGAATGCAAAGGGATTATAATCTCAGAGTCAGTTTTTGCTATGACACTTTCTGATACTTGAACGCTACATGTACATGTATGTATGGTAAATATCCTTCACTGATGGATGATGTTTTGGTTGTCATCCTCAAGATACTCAAACTTGTAACAGAAATTTGTCTTGGTGTTTGTTCAGAAACGTTGCAAGATCCATTTCACCTGACAGTGGTGGGTCAACCTCATGTTCCTTACTACTGAGTAAAGGTAATGCAGTATATAATTTGGTCATTGGTCATGTAATACCTTGTTTGATTTTAGGGGCAAAAAAACTTTAATTGAATTTGATTCAATTCACTACAATTAAGAATTTGTAGTGACATTGCTGCTTTCATAGGTATTGCTGGCAATGGTCTTTCAATAGTTGACAAGCACCGTTTTTTGGGCAAGTGGTTTGTTATGTTAGTTATCATCCTGTTTGAACATCTGCAAATTACAAAAGAAAGTTTGTTCATTGTGTGCTATTATTATTGCTATCATTATTATTATTATTATAAATTTTACAGGAGGCCAAAGCAGACCTGATGGAATGCCATATAGCACCTATGGTTTTTTTTTAAATGGCTCCCAAATCATCCCAAATTTTTATTTCATTTTCTGATATCCTTATACAGTGTAAAAAGTTTAATACAATTCCAATTTACATTTTAAAAACTATGGCCATTTTTAAAATTGGCTAAAATCTGATAAAATCCCTGTATTATAATAAGCTCTCCTTTTAAAAAAATAGCTTCAAATAACCCTACATTTTCTGATACATATTGATGTACATGTAAAAAGTTTGAGCTGATTCTGTGCTCAAATATTCAAGTTGTGGCCATTAAAAGATGAGCCAATTTCTGAAAATTCCCCAGTACTTTTAGCTTGTGGTTTTTCCCAATAATGGCTTCAAAATTGCCCCAAATTTCATTACATTTTTTTGATTATGTAAATTGCCTTTTTTCATTGTGGAAATATTTTGTGATTTAAAGTGAGGAAAATATTTAAATTGAAAATTTTTAAGCAACCAATATTTTGTGACCTAATGATCAATGAAAGACTAAGGTACATCCTGATTAAGTAGGTATCATCTTGCAGCTCTAACCTTGCTCTATCCAATGGTGCTTGCAGTAGTTCAATCTGTCGCTTCATTACTGAGTTATAAAATAAAAAGTCCACCATATGACAAAAAAGCTATTTAATGTTTTGGTTTATTATCTGTAAATTGGTCATTGCTTGCATTTTCAGTACTATCTGTATACTAGTAATGTCAGGAAACAGCCATGTCAAGAAGCTCATATCTCAAAAACTATAAATACTACTATAGCAGTCCTGCTACTAGTAGGTAAAAGACAAGGTACATGTGTATATATACATGTATATGCAAAAGAAGCTAAAATTTCATACTTAAAAAATTTTTCATTTGAAATTTTACAAAACCAAAATTTTTTATACAAAAAAAGGCAAATTAAAGTACATTTACCTGCTGTGTAGAAAGGTTGTGGTGATTCCGACTGTAATTTTTTAAATTTATTGTCATTTTTGGCTAAAATCTGAAAAATTTCCTGTATTCTAGGCCATGTTTTTTTTCAAAAAATGGCTCCAAATCACTCGAAATTTTTTCCCGTATTTTGATACATACTGAAGCCCTTATGTTGTATACAAAGTTTAAGTCGATTCCAACAAATTATAGCCATTTTTTAAATCTGTCAAAATCTGAAAAATCCCTGTAAGTACTATAGCCAATACTTTTTTCAAAAATGGCTCCAAAATCACATCAAATTTTTATTACATTTTCTGATAAAAATTAATGTACTTATGTAGAAAGTTTCAGCCAATTCGAAACCAGATTTTTAATTACGACCATTAAAAAAACCAGTGAATTTCTGAAAAATACCCAGTACTGCTGTACTATAACCTATGGTTTTCCATTTTTTATCAAAAAATGGTGGGTCTATTTTTGTAATCACTTAATCAAGTTCACTAATTCAAGCCCATCCAAAAGTACCCAGTATATGGTAGAGTATAACTAACAATCACAAATCATTTAGACTTACCTCCGCCATTTTGACAAACTGTGGGAACATTGGGTTCCTATTGAGTACCAGGAGAGGTACCTCAGGTAGAGTATCAGGTATTGATATGGTGGCAATAGCATGAGAGAGAGAACCCAAATCAACCTCATCCAGAGACCCTTCATCATCATTAGTCTTATGATCATCTGATCCATCACTTGATTCAGAACTACTGGAGTACATATACTAATGAGAGATGATAGAGGGAGAGGAGACATTATAAATAAAATAAATATGTGGGTCATTGAGGTTTATAAATAAATTTAAAATAATTTTCCAATAATTGTAAAAATTTCCAGTCTTAAATCAGTTTAAATTTCATAAACAAAATAATAGAGGATATGCATGCTAAGTATATTCATAACTTTTAAGTACCGTATATCCAACCTACACAGTAAATTGGCTGCCATGTTGGACATCAAGTTTATTAAGAATTTAATGGGGGAAAACACATTTTCTTGCCTTGCTACCTTCTTGAGGCCTTTTTCGGAAGCTTAGAAAGCATCCTGAGGATCTAATGGGGTCTAGTAGTCACCTGAAAAATTGCTATTAAGAAATACAGAGCAGTTTCCTGGTACCAAGCCTTTTTCTATCATTTCTCCATTCCTACTGATGGAAAACTGACGTCCAACGAATTATTTTTTTTCTTGAAAGTTATTACGGTATCCAATGAATGCATTTATTTTGCAATGAATATAATTAGCACGCATATCCTAGTCTCGTGCAGCCAGACCATTCCCCAGCCTACAGTCATTTGGGTGGACGTAAATGACTGTAGGCTGGGGAATGGTCTGGCTGCGCGAGACTACGCATATCCTCTATTATACACATAATTTATGATTCCCACCTAAGTCTAATTCAATAAAGTATTTCTAATCCCCTGAAAATTGTTGGCAGGTACAGTAGACCGTTCATTAAATTTTTAATCTAATTTTAACCCAATTAATTACCGGATTACACTGATCAGTGGTACATAAGTAACATTACATTATGTCTTCACTCCTTTATTTAATAAATGAGATAGTCTGGAAGTCAAGAGCTGATTGTTTGATGGTGTTCTACTAAGAGATGAAGAGAGATAGAGAAGCTTTCTACAAGTGCCACTGACAAACAATGCCATTACAACACACGTGTCTCCTCCGTATACTAGTATATTACTATTCAGAGATGAGGAGAGTGGAGACTACGGACTAGTACGGAGTAAGTTACTAAGTTACACATGATTCCAAAATAATGGCGGCTGCAAGACCGAGTTCTTCCTCTGAACGTTTTATGAACGTTTGCAATAAAGAACTAAGTGAGTTTGTGATTAATTTTGATCAATAATGATATTTTTCGCAGGAATTGAGGACTTTCATGTTATTCATAAAAGAATTGAGCAACTCTCAGCTTGCCGCTGGAAGCACTGAGATTGCCATTTCCTTGCGTCTCAAAATAAACACAATTAAAAATATAGAGGCTGATTGTCGTGGAAACAACGTCACTTGCCTGCAGAAAGTTTTAGAGTACTGGTTAAGGAAAGATTATAATTATGGGCGTTATGGTATTCCTTGTTGGAGGAGAGTGTGTGTAGCTGTTAAAGAAGGAGGTGATCCAGCATTAGCTGATGAAATAGCTCGTGAACATCCTCTATCAGTTACTACTGGAGGAGCTACTCCTAATCCTCCACAAGCTATGCCACCTGCAGGACCAACTAGTTCAAAAGGTACGTATACACAATGTACATGTATTTTAATACCATAATCCATTTATTTTTGTGAATTTTGTGGTTCCTTTCTCCGTCATGAAATTTTTCCACCACGAAATTATGCATTTCCATTGCCATGTGGTGCAGTCTGCAAGCTATTTGCGATAATAAATTAGTGAAATCTTAGAAATGCAAGATTTGCCAAAATTTTCTACTTTGAAAATAAACTGGTATACGGTAGTTGACTGTTGCCATCAATGGTGTCAGTGTCAGATAAAACTGATCTGTTATATTTACACGGAAATTTTTTTCCCAAATTTTGGCACATGTGGAATTTTGACACATGACGTGTATTCTGATATTCAAGTTTTTCTGTG